CATGTAGTTGGCACTCATGAAATGTTTGTTGAATTAATAAATCCTCATAGCAATTCTGTGTGACAGAGACTATTATATCCATTCTTCAGATGAGAAACTTGGGGCTCACTGCATGAAGTGAACACTCCACAATCACACAATTCATAACTAAGAGAGGTGCAATTGGCACCCAGGACCCCTCACAGTAGGGGCTACTGTGAAGAGCAAGACAACCGTAGTTGTGTCTTTATAAAACAAGAGGCTTGTGGGATCATTGGTGCCAATCCATAGGAGAAATACAACTGGTACTCATGACTGAACTACATTTAAAGAAGATGGGACATGAGCTTATTTGGTGTCTCATCGAAGCCAGAGCAGCTCTTTGTTCACTCTGGAGCTGTGTTGTTTTCGTACGGATGTGGCAGTGGTGGCTGTGCACCTGAAAAAAGGAGATGTGGGTGTGGCAAACAGTAAGGTGGGGGGGTTGGCCCAACTTATCAGAAGGGAAAGTCTTCCATCTCTCACACCTACCTCTCTCTTTGTCTGAACGGGATGTGAGCCCTCTGCTGCATGCAGAGGCTTGGGATGGGGTGCAGCAGGAAGCCTGAGACCCCTTAGAGAGTTATTTAATTTAAGAACCTCTCTGATGTTATTATCCATAGGAAATATGGGGCGGTAAATCAGAGGAGATGGCTGGCAAGTGCATTACAGAGCATTAAACAATAGCTGATCAGCATCAGACACAAATAAATGGTCCATAATCTAGTGCCAAGAACATGGACGGTTCCCAAGTGGTGGCATGGCTGGCTTCCAGGCAGGGGAGCACGGGGCTGGACATCAGGCCCTACAGGCCACAAAATGTCTGTCCTGGGTCACATCTCAGCAGGCAACAGGAGAAGATTCCAGTACCCAGACAGAAATCACAACCTTCCCTCTGATCTCACTCTGTAGGACTGGATTTGGATGTTCTCACCATCCAGTTTCTGAGACCTGAACCCAAACATTGCCTGGAAAGTCCCTGCCTTCCTGGAAAATCCTGTATTCCATGAGGGAAGCCACTTATGTCTGTGGGGGCACTGATGGGTTGGCTCACAATGCCTAAAGAGAAAGCTTGTGGATTACCTGGCTCCCCACCCCCAAACACCCTGTTGACACCATTTCACTAGAGCATTGTTTAGCTTAGATCCTTAAGCTCCATTAAAATGCAAGAACCATAAAGGAGAGATAAATCAGTACCCTGGCAAGTCATGCACATTTTAGTATAAAGCAATATTCAATCTTTTGCTAGAGCTTTGGGCATTGATATCCTGAGGAAAAAGTAGGAGAGAATAGAAAATAAAGAATCCAGGCCAGGTGTGGCGGCTCACAGCTGTAATCTCAGCACTTTGGGAGGCCAAGACCGGCAGATCACTTGAGGTCAGGAGTTTGAGACCAGCCTGGCCAACATGGCGAAACCCCATCTCTACTAAAAAAAAAAAAATTGCTGGGCATGATGGCACGTGCCTGTAGTCCTAGCTACTCAGGAGGCAGAGGTATGACAATCACTTGAACCTGGGCGGAGGTTGCAGTGAGCCAAGATTGCGCCACTGCACTCAGCCTGGGCAACAAAGCAAGACCCTGTCTCAAAAAAGATAAAAAAAGGATCCAGAGGAGAGTTTCCAGAGGATACGAGGGCAGCCTGCAGGACTTTAAAAGCCAATATCACTATTTATCCAGAACCATAAGCAGATTTGGTATATACTGCTGAAAGCCCTGGACTTAGAGTGAAGAAGCAGGATTCCAGTCTCCAGCTCTCCCACGTACCAGCTGCATGACTTTGGACAAGTCACTTAACCTTTCTTAGCTGCCATTTCCTCATCTGAAAGGGGAAGTGGTGCTGCCCCCATTCAGGAGTGCTGTGAGAATTACATAAATTAAACTGTGTGGAAGGCCTGCCCTTCTGTAAATGTCATTGTCTTTGTGTGTGTGCCTCCACATTCTGGAAACTGTACTACTACTGAGCTACAACTGTGAGTGGATACTGGAGCCAAGCCAATCCACAGACCCACAAGTGAGCCCTGCCAGGGCCAGCCAAACCCAGGCTGGATCAGCTGATCCTTAGTTTATCCACAAATACATGAATTTCAACAATAAATGATTGTTGTTTTAATCCACCAAGTGTCACGGTGGTTTATTACCCACCAATGGTTAAGGCAATACACTAAATGTGGGGTTCTTGGCATTTTTAATAATTGCCATGTTCAATAGAAATCATTCCAAGATATAAATGGCATTTATCTGCCTTCTTAAGCAAGATAAAGTGGGCACAATCCAGTCATCACTGGAGCTTCATGCTCATCATAATGAAAACCAGTTAATATGCTGCAGTCAATGATGCCTTCAGGGGTTACAGACAGAGCAGAGGCTCTAGGAGTAGTTCTAGTCAACTTTTTATTTTTGTCTTTTTTTTTTTTTTTTTTTTTTTTTTGAGACGGAGTTTCACTCTTGTTGTCTAGGCTGGAGTGCAACGGTGCAATCTTGGCTCACCGCAACCTCTGCCTCTCGGGTTCAAGAGATTCTCCTGCCTCAGCCTCCTGAGTATCTGGGATTACAGGCATGAGCCACCACGCCTGGTTAAATTTGTATTTTTAGTAGAGACGGGGTTTATCCATGTTGGTCAGGCTGGTCTCGAACTCCCGACCTCAGGTGATCTGCCTGCCTTGGCCTCCCAAAGTGCTGGGATTACAAGCGTGAGCCACCACGCCCAGCCTACTATTCTTTTTGAAATCTCAGACCCATTTACTAATTCTTTATTGTTTTTCTTGTAATCATTCTTATCATCTGTCATTGTGTCCATCTTAAGCAGCAACTCCTCCCTCCCCAGTAACTCACCACATTTCAAGACACCTACTATTTATGTCTATTACAGTGCTATCCAAAATAAGAGTTAATAGGCTTAGAGTAAGGGCCCAAGATAGTTTTGTGTGTATCAAATATTATGTGCTTTAGCAGTGGCATTTCTATCATCAGCTCTGGCCTCTGATTTTTTTTTGCTCCCTCCCTGGTTCTCCTCTGGGACCCAGCAGTGGAGGTTGCCAGGTAATGAGCCTCAGATCCAGAGAGCTGGTGCTAGGCAACTGCTAGAATACAGTCTTTCCTGAAGACAGTGAAGGAGTGGATTATCTATGAAGGTAAGCACTGGCCTACAGGCCCATGAGAGCTCTTCCTCCAGCATAGCGCCTTTCCAGGGCATTTACCACATGCCACCTGTGTTTCAAAAGCAGGTGATCATGGAATCCCCCAGAACAGAGGCTATATCCTACTTGTCTCTGTGTCCCCTGAAGCACACATTAGAATGTGAGGCACACAGTAGGCACTCACTAAATTATAATGCATAGAATGAAAAGATTTTCCTAGTTGCCCATATTTTCTGTGCATATACAGCCTATCTTCAGAACAATAAGAGTTTATAAGCTTCTGAATATGGAATATTTCACATCAAATTGTTGGAAAATATTTTCAAAGGATTAAAGTTGTCTTCTCAAGGAACAGTTTCCATTTTTTTAAGGCTCAACTTTATTTCTGAACTGTGCTATCATAAAGCCATGGTGACTACATTAGGGGGACAAAGCCAAGTGACCACTGGAGAAAACATATCTTTGTGATACTGAGCTGGTTACCTTAGTGATTCCCCCTAGGTCTACTCCATTGTTTTACCAAATGTCTAATGACCACACTCCCAGCCAGAAGTACCTGTGGATGTGCACACTGGTTGCTCTCCATCCCAACCCTCCCCTTTGCTCTCTGCCCTAAGTGTTCTGCTCCCTGACCTCCATGGTCTGCCCTCTGGCTTCAAATTGGGTTGGCCAATGAGAGGCACTGCCAATAGGTACTTGGATGGGAGGAGAGAGAAGTTGCTGTATTTCTCCTTCATTTTCTCCTTGCTTTGGGTCCCTCCATGACCAGTGCTCCTGCCTGATGGCCCCTCCTCCAAGGCTCCAAATCTCCCTGAGATCCATTTCCCTATTTTACCCTCTTGCCTTTTCAAGCACAGGGTGGTAAAGACATCCTGCGATTGCTAATCTCTAGGTGCCTGAACGTTCCTTGTTGGTTCCCTTAACTCCACCCACACCTCTCAAAGTGATCATCCCTTCATTCAAGTCTTTTCATCTGAACCATCTGAGTTGCTTCTTTACCCTGCTGTTGCCCTGACTGATACAGTCTGCAAAAACCTTACCTAAGAGATATCTATGCTGGCCAGGGCACTCTCCAAATCAAAGAGTTCTAAAGAAAACCAGAGGTTCTTTTCTCTCTAGTTTTCAGAACTCCTTAACCACTTTGGTGCTATTTAAATTAAGTAATACAAAATGATGGTAAACCCCAGTTTGCAGATGAGAAGTCTGTATTCATTCATTCATTCATCAAATATTTATTGAGTATGTGCCAGGCACTGTTCTGACCCTGGGAAAACAATAATGTACAAGAGAGACATATGCCCTGCCCACATGGTGCTTATAGTGTAAGGTCACTGTCTCTCAGAAGTCAGAGAGCTCATCAGAGGCAGGGCTGGAACCAGAAAACTGAGTTTTCTTAAGTCCTCATCAGAGGCAGGGCTGGAACCAGAAAACTGAGTTTTCTTAAGTCCTAACCTTCAGCAGATTCTCAAAGGAAACCATGACCCAAACATGATTAAGAACTGCCAAATTAAGCCAAATTAACTCTTAAGCTTCTCCCTTGAACAGGGCAATAATGACTACTCACTCCTAGAAGCTTGATGCTCTTAACTTGAATTTGCGGGAGCATGTGGGCACACACCCATGGTGACACCATCACCCACCTTTCCTGCCCACTCTCCTCAATTCTCCACAAATCTGCCCCCGCCTCCATTTCTCACACTTTTATAATTAGTCCCACACCAGTCTCTGAGTCACTCCCTCACGGCCCGCAAACGTTGGCTACGCAACTTGTTGATGAGCTGTTTTTATCAATGGACAGCAACTGGGAGCTGGATTCAGAGATGTGCCCTCTCCAGGAGCCTGGCATTTCTGGCCCTCCCTGTGTTTCCAGCAAAGGCAGTGACAGGGAAATTTCTGTCTCCGTTGAAGTATTTATGAGATTCATGTTGGAGGGCATAACTAAAACTTTGCTGGGGAGAGCCAGGGGTCACTGAGGTGAATTGAGGGGGGCCATAAGGGTCTGCCTGCCTTCTTCAAGCCCTCCGGAAGCATGTGAGTTTCCTCAGAAAGGTTTTAATAGGCCATACCAGTAACCCAATACTTCCCCTGCTCTGCGCCAGACAGGACAAGGGCAACAGCCTGGTGACCTCAGAAAAGGTTGCTAGGCTGGCAGACACAGCCCCTTCCCCAAATCTCCCAGCCCCGTACCTGGCAGACACACTCAGCTCCAGACCTGGCTGTCACTGTGGAACCCCCTCCACTTCTCCCCGGAAAGCCTGCTTCTCTCAGGACCTCCAGCTGCCTTGTCTGAGGCTGAAGGGAAGTCGCAGCCAGGAAGACAGGGCTGGAGAAAGGCAGAAACCTAGTCCTGAGGCTACAACTGCCCCCGCTGCCCTCCCTTCCACCGACATTTTCCCTTCACGGGACTGCTGTGCCCATGGATGCTGCCTGGGTCTGGAGAGAGGCTTGTTTACTCCACAGCATTCCCTGTGAGGCAAGCCCCCCTGGAAGAGGTCAGAGATCCATTTATAGAAACATCTGAGATTCACTGCTCTTCAGTTGCACTCCTCTGTCTCTTTTAAGCTCTCCCAAATTCCTGACCAAGAAGAAATCATGCAGCAAATGGGGAGAAGTAGGGAAGAAACCATTTTTCAAAGCGTCTCTGCTTTGAGCAACCAGGTAGGAGCTGGTTGGAACAAGGACAGAAGGGGTTTCCGAGACAAGCTCGGGTGACAGGAAGCTGCATGGTGGCCATCTCCCTTCCAGCTTCCCTCCACCAAGAGTTGAATGGCAAAAATATCAGGACACATTGCAAAACAATCTTCCTTCCTCCCCCTGTCCCCTGACAGATGGAAGAGAGGAAAGTTGTGGCCATCGTTTACCTGCTGAGATTGGGAGGACGCTGTTGATGAAAGTCGGCTGAGACACCACAGAGCGGAAAAAAAGCTGAAGATAAATTCCCAAAGTCATTGGATTCAGGATAACCATGCTGGCCAGGATCTGGCGAGTGTCAAGTTAGAAAGAAGGCTGCCGTGGAGCCTTGCTTATCTCTGCTTTTCTCTTCCTCACTGCTGCTGCATGCGTGTATGCGTGTGTGTGTGTGTGTGTGTGTGTGTGTGTGTGTGTCTGTGTGTGTCTTTCCCTCTTTCTCTTTCTCTCTCCCTCTCCCTCCTCCTCAACTCCCCCTCCCTCCCCCACCTCTCCTGTCCCCCATGTCTTTACCAAGAAAGAATGCCAACCATTTCCCATTAAACCGTCTCCATACTACACAGAGTTATATTTATCTCAAGCACCATATCAAATGCCCGCATTAAAATTAAGATGTCAAAATATTCTTTTTCGGAGACTGAGGTAAGTGGCTAGCGAAGAGGTGATGAGAAGGCAGCCAAGTCTCAGATGTTCACTGGAAGCAGTCCTCAAGGGCAGAGAGATTCCTAATTGGTCATGCGTCACCATCTACCTGCTTGGAACTGAGCAGAAACAACTCTCCTGATTCAAACCGGACTTCATGGAGACAACCCCTCTGCTGTCAACCTGTGACATTTTTACCCACTGTGTAACAAATGTAAAGTTGACTTTTAGTTTTTTTCTTTAATTATCCAATAAAAAGGAGTAGGGAAGTAGTTTATATTTCCGAACAGCTTTCTCTGTGAAAAAGCGTTTCTCTCTTCAAAAGCTGCAACCTTATGATTCAATGCAAAGCAAAATAAACGAAAACAGTAAAAGGATAGAAAAGTGAATGATTTTTATCAAAAAAATAACAGCTGGGAACAGTGGCTCATGCCTGTAATCCCAGCATGCTGGGAGGCAGGGGCAAGCAGATTATGAGGTCAGGAGTTTGAGACTAGCCTGGCCAACATGGTAAAACCCTGTCTCTACTAAAGATACAAAAAAATTAGCCGACGGGGTGGGGTGGTGGTGTGCGCCTGTAATCCCAGCTACTTGGGAGGCTGAAGCAGGAGAATAGCTTGAACCCCGGACGTAGAGGTTGCAGTGAGCCAAAATCGTGCCATTTGTTGTTCCAGCTTGGGCAACAGGGTGAGACTCCGTCTCAAAAAAAAAAAAAAAATCATTAACTTAATATTTGGCTAGACAAAATTCTCCAAATAAAAATTATCACACTCTTAATGCCTTTTATGAGTTTATAAAGCTGGTTATAGAGATGATTAGATTACTAAAACAAAAGAATAATTCACAGAGTTGTTCGTTTTGCTTTAATCTACATATTACATGCCCCATAGGAGTTAACTCAGAAACTGGTAGTTACGGGATGCTGGGGTGGGCATCCTGCCCCCGTGCTCATTTTGGGGAAGGTGGATTTGGGTCAGGGCATGGTATAAGGCGATACTTTACAGCTATAGCACCACACTTGGGCTTGATTCTCAGCTCTGAGTGGCAGTGGACAAACTGACCTCTCTAAGTCTCAGTTTTCTCATCCATAAAATGGAGACAATGTTCTCTTTACAGGTTTGTTGGAAAGTTAAGTGAGGTAGCAGGGATGAATCCTACACAAATTAGAACTTGCATATAGAGACAGCACAAAGGAGACCCAGGGAGCCATGGTAGCCTGGGTGCAAAGATGGCCTCCAAAAGTCCTTCCACCCCAGTATGAGCACATCACTCTTCCCAGCAAAAAGCGGGGCTAGTTCCCCTCCCTTGAATCTGAGGTGGCACTGTGACTTGCTTTAACCAATAGAATGGTTAAAGGGATACTGTGTCATGTTCTGGCCTAGGTCTTAAAAGCCTGGCAGCTTCTGCTTTTGCCTTTTCTTGAAAATTAGCTGCCACTTAAAAAAGTCTAGACTATTGAAGAGGTCACATGAAGTGGGAAGCAGCCAGCCTCCAGCTGTTCCGACTATCCCAGATGCAGCATCAACAGACGAGTTGGGGCCATTTTAGAACATCCAGCCCTGTCCTGATCTCAGCCACAGAAGTGACCCCAAGTAAGAGCCTCTGAAGAACTGCCCAGCCCAAATTACAGAGTCATGAACAAATAAAATGGCTATTGTTTGAAACCAGTAAGTTTTAGGATGATTTGTTATGCAGCAATGGCTAACTGATACAGAGTTGGTAAGGAAAGCTTTTGAAAGCATGAAAAACACACTTGAACTACATTCAAAATGTACAGGGCAGAGTAAAGAGGGGGTATCCCCATTTAGCCACTCCCAAAATTTTTACCAGAAGGAGCTATGATTGTTGGCTAAACCCAATCAGGACATTCTCAGGCTCACTCTTGTTATCTCTTGCTGCCCAGCAACCAGCTTCCGGTGGCTTGGAGAAGGTACAGTCTACCTGGGAGGAAGGTATCTCTTGAGTAACTTGGTGTCAGAATATGAGCTTTCACTATCTAACTCAATTCCTCCTCTGCAAAGCCAGTATGACTTCTTCCTTCTTTCAGCACAAAGAGTTCACCACTGACCATGCCCTTGGGACAAATTATGTCAATATGTCCTACTGGTGACACCTGCTGCTATTTTTGAACACCACCTTGTATTGCTATTTAGCGGTCATTAACATCCCTAAACATAGGGGACTGTCCCACAGCTTTGTGTACTCTCAAGGCTCCCAGAACAGTCCTTGTCACCTAACAGATCCTCAATAATGTAAGTTACTTTGATCAAGTCACACCACTGGATAGGATGAAAAGAGAAGAATGCAGAAAAATAGCATAACTTCATGCTCCAGCTTCCTGCACAACTTACATTTCCCCAGCACCCCTTAGACCCTCTGCACATACAGCTGGCTGGCCTGCGCCTGGTACAAGGGAGGGCTTTGACAAGTGTGGTGAGAGCATAAGAGTGACTATGGATGGCCATCTTGAATTAGGACCTGCAAACAGAGAGGCTAAATTTATAATTCAAGTCACTGGAATGAGCTACTGCTGATCTAAAGTTACTACAGGAGCCTCTACCCTCTGGGGAGGCCCCAACACAGAGTTACTTATAAGGCCCCAATGCTTATTAAACAATTTTTAGTAAATTTCCATCTCTTCAGTCATCTTACATTTTACGAGCCCATTTCTTATAAGATTACCCTAACTGACCAAGACAGAAATTACCATCTTTCTTCAAATTCTCCTGGAAGGGCTCTGATATTTCCAGAATCTAATCACATAGGCTATTAGATTTGTCCAGAAGGAAAATATTTGAGATTTGAGAAAAGCTGACACCAATAAAGCCATTCAAAGTCAGAGTCTTCCCTCTCAGGCCTTGTAGGCGAGTATATACTGGAGAACAATCTGTTGGCCCCATCAAACTTAAAATATGCTTGCCATCTGCCCCAGAAGTTCTCAGAAATACTTATTCAACTGCCCACTGGTTTAGGTGCAAGGATGTGCATTGTTGCTCAAATTGGAAACAGCCTCACTGTCCATGAATAAAACATTGGTGGAATAAATCATGGGACATCCATTCAAAATGTTATGCAGTGATTAGAAAGAATAAAGTAGTCTTTGCAACAAATGGTGCTGGAAAAATTTGACTTCCATATGCAAAACAAACAAATAAAGTTTAACCCTTACCTTGCCCCATGCATAAAAATTATTTAAAAAATAGATCATAGACCTAATTGTAAATGTAAAAATATTAAACTTCTGGCAGAAAACAGGAGAAAATCTTAGTGACCCTGAGTTAGGCAGAGATTTCTTAAATAAGATGCAAATACAAATCTTAAATTAAAAAGAAGTTAAATTGGACTTTATAAAAGCTTTAATGCTTCTGCTCTTCAAAATATAATACTAAATTGGAAAGCCAAGCCAAAAAGTAGGAGATAATATTTGCAAAACACATATGTAATAAATGATTTGTAGCTAGAATATATTAAAACATTCACAACTCAATTAAAAGAAATAGAAGGCTGGCATGGCTCACACCTGTAATCCCAGCACCTTGGGAAACTGAAGTGGGTAGATCAGTTGAGGCCAGGAGTTCGAGACCAGCCTGGCCAACATGTGAAACCTCATCGCTACACAATATACAAAAATTAGCTTGGTATGATAACACACACCTGTAATTATAGGTACTCAGGAGGCTGAGGCACAAGAATCGCTTGAACCCGGGAAGCAGAGGTTCCGGTGAGCTAAGATTATGCCACTGCACTCCAGCCTGGGTGACAGGGCAAGACTCTTTCTCAAAAAAAAAAAAAAAAAAAGAAAGAAAGAAAGAAATGGTCACAACCTGGAAAACACGGCAAGACCCTGTATCTACCAAAAAGAAAATTAGCTGGGCCTGGTGGTGCATGCCTGTGGTCCCAGTTAGCTGGGAGGCCGAAGATGGGGATATCACCTGAGCTCAGGAGGTCAATGCTGCAGTGAGCTATTACTGCACCACTCCAGCCTGAGTGACAGGGTGAGACCCTGCCTCAAAAAAGGGAGGGAAGGAAGGAAGGAAGGAAGGAAGGAGGGAGGGAAGGAAGGAAGGAGGGAAGGAGGGAAGGAGGGAAGAAGGGAAGGAGGGAAGAAGGGAAGGAGGGAAGGAGGGAAAGAGGGAAGGAGGGAAGGAAGGAAGGAAGGACGGGAGGGAAGAAAGGAAGGGAGGGAAGGAAGGAAAAAGGTGCAAATAGATATTTCACCAAAGAAGATACATTAATGACAAAAAAAAATTTGTAAAGATATCCAACATCTTTAGTCATTAGGGAAATGCAAATTAAAACCACAGTGAGATACCACTACACACATACTAGAATGGTTAAAATTTAAAAGACTGACAATACCAAGTGTTGGTAAGGATATGGAGCAACTGGAACTCTCAAACATTGCTAGTGGGAATGCAAAATGCTGTAACCACTTTGGGAAAAAATGTCAGTTTCTTATAAAGTCAAATATACACTTATTATACATCCAACAATTCTACTCTTCAGTATTTATCCAAGAGAAATGAAACACATGTCCACAGAAAGACTGTACATGAAAGTTCATAACCACTTCATTTGTAATAGCTAAAATTAGAAACAACCCAAATGGCCATCAATCAGTGAATGGATAA